AAAGGTCACAAAATTCGTCCCCTTTAATTTAGGTCAAAATAAATTATTAAATGCGCTTGATCTCGTGTGTCATTTCAATTTTTGTTTCGAGAGGTTACGGTGTCTGTTTACTAATTTTAATTTACGTTTTGGCATACTGGATCGACTGTAGAACATAAAACCAGTTATTTATCCTAATACTGACTGTCATCCCACATAACAAAAAAAATAAAATACGATGAACTCGACAGTATTAGATTCAACCATTTACAAATAAGATATAAAACGAAGTAGATTAACACATGTGTAACTTGTATCCAATAAAATTACGTACTTGTACGTATATGTAATAATGTTGCTAAATTTGTGTTTGTTGTTTTCATTTGTGGAAGACGGGGCTGGTGGGTGTGTTTGGGATTTTATTGAAAGGTTGTATCAAATTACTTTCGTTTCAGACAATATTATTCTATAATATTGTTTGGTACAGTTCTTTACTCCAATTCATTATTTTTGTTGACAAGTTTAATCATTTATAGAACCGTTGATCTTGTCAAAGTCAATGGAAAAACTCAGTGCAAAAGTGGAGAGAACCAAACTGAAAATTGCTTTTGCCAGTATGCATGCTACAGAAAGGGGAATATGGTTGTGTTAATATATTATCCCTTTTAGTGAATTTGATTGTCACAGGTGGTAGTATTTATTATTTTGGAACTAAAAGTTGTTACATTAAGAGGGGGTAAGACGTTTTAGATAGAAATAAACCCATTGTTTTAGGAGTATTAATGTGTGAGTACCACGCAATACCAAGCTCTTGGGGATAATAACAGATAGTTACAGAAGTTTACTTAAAACATTTGTGTAGTAGGACAGAAATTGTACTGTATGTCGTTAGTGAGAAACTAAATTGGAATTTATTTATGAAGCCCAGCCCAGTAATATTTGTTAAACCCTCTATGCTTGTGCGGTTCCTATAGTATTTTACAGGCTGCATTATCGCAATAGTCTTGTGGGACCTAAATCAAATTATACTTTCCAAGTTACAAATGGTCCAAATCACTGCCGCCAGGATCATCAGCAGGACTTCCAGGCGTTCACATATAAGATATATTGTAGAATAGGATTTAAATCCTTGAGTCATGTTTACATGGATCCAGTCCAGCATTGCTATCTTAACTTATATACACCTGTACACACCACCACGAAATCTTCGCTTCCACGATGAGTGTTTGTTAGATCTACCAAAATTTAAATTAAAATCTTTCGGTTATAAATCATTCAGATATAACGCAGTAATTGTATATTGAACAGCTTACCATATAGTGTTAAAACATCAAGCTTTTGTGAATCTTTTAAAGGGAATCTGAAAACTCATTTGTTTAATTTTGAATGTAAGCGATCGAATTACTGGTATGTAAATAGTGTAAAATGTGCAGAGATGGCGACTTGAGTATGCATTCGTGAATATACAATATTATTTTTATTATGATTATGCTACAGTTTATCTATTGCCAGCTGTGACCGACATAAAAGGTTTGCCAAACTCGCGGTTGACAGTATAGAATGCACACTTTGACGTATTTATTTTCAACTTATCTAACAGTTTCGGTTTTCAATTTTTCCTCTTTGCTTTCCATGGTGGCTTTCAAGCTTTCAGGAACAAACCTCTGCAAAAGAAATCATTATGCCCTCAGGATTAGCGAAAAATTCCAGCAAGCTTTTATTAAAATAAAATCAATAAAACTCTGACCAGTAGAATAATTATAGTGTTACTGCAACAGGGTTTGTAACCTTTGTAAAATATCAATTTCGATATATTTCTAACGGAATAATCTCGGAAAGATTTGGAAAACAGATCTAAAAAATTCTGGCATATAAAACGTTAATTCACAATGTTTTAGTTACAGTGACGTAATAATTTCAAACTTTAAAAACTTAATTTTTATTTGATTGATTGGATGCCCACCTGAAATGGATGTCCTGTGCAGTCCATCCACCCTCTCTCTTCAAGCTGCTGCGTGGAAGCAGACATTAAACCATCGGCTACTACCATTACTACTGCTAGACATTGTGATATGAAATGAAATGGAATGGGGTTTACTGTCCTATTGTTCTCCTCCGACTGGGCTAATGAAGACGAACACACGCCATATAGTGAGCTATGAAAGAAATTTTGCCCGGACAGCGGCGCACTACGTCCTACTCTTATATCGAATTCCAACTGCCAATAGATTTCCAATGTATTCACGGGACCTCTGTTTTTCGTCCCATCCTGACGACTATACTTTGTCCCTTGCCAGGCCCTCAGTCCCGCACCACTGACAAGGGGGGACTACGCCGATAAATCCCGATGAACTTTATCGGCCAACGCAGAGATAGAACACGGAACCTCCAGGTTATAGCGAGCCAACGTCTCACCCGCTGAGCCACCGTGGCTCCCTCGGCACTGTGAACGTCTTGTTTCAATAAGTGTGTCTTCAACTATGGAATCCGTTGCGAATCAAACTCAGTGGATACAATCACTGGAGAGAGGCTACATGGAAACAGATATCGATATAATTATTCAGTCCTTTATTATAGGATATATTAGTCTCAGTAATGCAATTGTCTGGAAAGATTCGTCGTTAATTTTGAGGAATGGTATTCTTATTTTTGCTAAAACAAGTAAAGGTAGTAAACATATATTTGTGTAAAATAAAAAGCCTAAAAGGCCAATATATAGTCGATTCATTTGGTATTTTCTTGCAACGGAAAACCTAAAACCACGTGTCACTAACGGACACATCCATATAGACGATTATATTCGTGACATATGAATATTAATGGGCACACTATTGCGTTATAGGAAATGAATGTATTCTGTCGGATGCTACAATAGTATGTTCAACAATCAAAACATCCAATAAAGCACGGTAAAATAAATCCTAATATAAACCGGAAATATCTAAAACAAGCTAGAACCACCTACAATTTTGCTTAACTCTTTCGATGAACCCTTTTATACTCCGATTAAATCAAGTCTGGACACTACCTATAGTTATTTAGAATTTGTTATCTTAATGCTCAGTAATTAATTTGAGTACATTTTAGCATGGATTAGGTCTTGAAAAATTAGATATTGTCTGCAAATGCCGATTAGCTACTTCAAACATTGTTCATAATATATCTCGATTACTTTTATAATCTTTAAGAGGCATTTAGTAACTGGGTAGAGCAATACACAAAAAACACATACTTATGGAAAAACAGCTACTTATTTATTTGGGCGACGTTTCGAAGAGTATTCTCTCAACGTTATCAAGCTAATACAGTAATACAAGAATAATGAGATCAATATATACAGAAAACTGTAACAACAATTCATGAAACCATACAGGACAACAACAAGATCAAAGGGGTTTATTCTACAAAAACTAATTAAGTGTGAAGAGTAGCCATTGAGTATAGTTAAGCATGGTATATCATAATTGTATTGTAGGTACTATCCCATTCTGTCGGTAGTATTGTATCTATCATCATAGCTACCTAATTGCTTAACTATACTCAAAGGCTACTCTTCACACTTAATTAGTTTTTGTAGAATAAACCCCTTTGATCTTGTTGTTGTCCTGTATGGTTTCATGAATTGTTGTTACAGTTTTCTGTATATATTGATCTCATTATTCTTGTATTACTGTATTAGCTTGATAACGTTGAAAGAATACTCTTCGAAACGTCGCCCAAATAAATAAGTAGCTGTTTTTCCATAAGTATGTGTTTTTTGTGTATTAGATTACTTTTGTTTCTTACTTTTAGACTTACAAATTGTCTTGAAAAGCGTGGCAGTCAAAGGTTACTTAATCACGTTTTACTCTAATTGAACTCACCGGGTGACATTTGAGAGTAGAATCAGTTATGACTTCCACGCGGATCTGAAACGGTTGCTGTTTTTTTATGTTTATAAGTGAATATAATTGCAAACTTGAGAAAGAAAACCACCCGCTAAGCAAAATCGACATTCTTTTTTAAAAAAAAAACGTAAACATGGTTTTATATATTTTTATGCTTCCCCGCGGTAGATCGTCGTCAAACCATTTAGTCCGTCCGACCACAATTCTTGTAAACACTCTGCAATTCACTTTTTTTAAGATTTGTTTTCATACGTGTGAAGCAAGTTATATAAGGTGACTATTAAAACTTCAAAGTCTATGCTGCGTATCATCAATATCACCGAAAACTCGTAAACGATCAGCATATCAGAGATCCAGTGTTTTAATTACCGTACTTGCTGGGGGGTGTGAAATAGATTTCTTTCATTTTTCATTTTTTTTAGCCATTGTCCTGCCCCTGGTCCTGTCACCGAAGACTTGCGGACGCTTTGCAGGTCACATCTTTTTAGATTTGAATTTCCAAACTTACTGGTATTGTTTGATTGTTTAGACCGACCTGTCGTAAATAATTATATTCCGACTTATTTTTCCTTTCCCACAAAACCACGGCGTATATGAACATAATGTTTAATTTTTCAAAAAAAAAACCTCGAGTCTGCAAAAAAGAAATCAATTCCTATTGGTAAAGATTTGAAAGGAAAAGCGAAATGGGTTGAATGAAATATATATTATAAATTATTTCGTTCTTCGGACGCCGCTGACACACCCCCACTCCATCCTCGCATTTCATCCTTATGTCCCTATTTGCAGACGCCGATGAAAGGTTAGATTGCTTTTTATTTTGACCTAATTTGCTGAAAAAGAAAGGGGGCGTTCAGAAGCCAGTAAACGTCTGTAAAAATGTACATCTTGGTCCCTGTTATAGCCATGTTATTCTCCTGTTATATATAGTTTCCCGGTAATAAACCTATTAGACCCGAATAGTATCTTGTTTTATAATTTCATCCCTGTAGCACGGCATCCTATCGAAACACAAATAGTCAGGGTTAAATAAAATTATTTGCCGTCCATGTCATGCACGGAACTCCCTAATAAAAATATTCAACAATAGATCGGTTGTTCACCTGTTGATTACATTTAAATCTCAGACTAAACATGGCCAATAACAAGTATTCGCAACGTAATCATTTGTAGCATTTCCTTCTCATTCTATCCTCTAGACAAGACAAATAATCAACCCACTAGATGGAACATCGTCATCGCTTAATACTGCTCTAATCTTTCTAACCACTTCTACAACCAGTTAACAAGGACAGAGCTTGTGTAGACAGACAGTCCGAGAAATCTTTAAAGACATTACCAGTAATTACTATCGAAAGTTACTTTCCTAAATTGGACAGAACCGGAAGTGAGAATGTGGTCTCTAAGGATCCGCCATGTTGATTTAAGATCCGGTAACCAGTTGTGGAAGTGAAAGGGTTTAACCCAAATCATGCAAGACGAATTATCAAGACAATCATGATGACCAAAAGGATTTACATCTGAAGTCGTCCATTAAGAAACGATTTGTAAACATTAGCTAAATGTAGATAGGGAAACAAATACTGTTTGAGAGTCGGAATGTTTTTCAGGTATTAAAGTTTGGGTTGATATTAGAATTTGTTATTTCTAATGCGGACATCCTGCACTTACTATTAAAGTGTGATGACTTTTACAATCGTATTCTGAATTATTATCTTGTAAATCAACATGACTGACTGCTATTTTTCAATAATTTAGTAACTCTAAACTTTTTCTCTAAAATTAAGCATTTTGCAGTTCGAGTTGATATCAGAAAACTACCAATTTTATGCCCTGGAGCTAAATGGCCAAATAATCCTATCCGGTACTTAAATAATTGGCACGATATACCAGAATTTTGCCAACCAATTGCAACAGTTCAGTGCTGGAATAATTCGGCCATTGGATTTAAAAACAACACAAAAACGCCTTGGTTGTTCACCTCGACGTATTTCTATTTTATGTACTGATCATATGAGATGTACGAGTATAAATGAATAAATAATGGTGGACAAATTAGAATACATGTCTTATTACATTTAAGAAACCCACTTAGGTATATTTTTCTTGTTCATGAGAACCATATCTTTAAAGTGAAATAAACCAGACAAACGACAAAATAATATACCATAGTTACACAGGTGGTAAATAAAGAACGATGTATTTTGTCATCATTTAATTATACGGTGACATCTGGTGCTATAAAAATGGAAGCATAGAAAACTGTTCAAAGACTGATTTATATTAAACTTTTTAATCTTTGAAAAACTGTTGCTGGTAAAATGAAATTAACAACACACATATGTGGTTTCTGTGTATATTTTATATAAAATTATATTAAAAAAGAAATAAAGATAAATATTGGATCAGGGTGTTACTGAATGAAAACAATATCAAAATATGGCATTACAAAAAGAAAAAGCTTCTTTAGAAAGATAAAGTCAAGATAAACAATTCGGCGCTGTTTGTTTACGTTTTAAAGACTAAAGAAATATCGAGTTCGGCTTTATATTAATGTAAATTTTCTTCCAGAAAATCTGATTAAAACACAGATCCTATTTCGTTTCGTTTATTTATTGTTCAAAATTTCGTTTTGCTTGTCTCCAGCACACTAGGATCTGGAAGAGTTGTTATATAATAGGCGTTCTAGTTGATGTGAGGAATTAGCCAATGAAACAGTCTATTACGGATAGTTCTTTGCGAGCTCTACACGGAACTGTGGGTAAACCCCTAGAAACATCAACATTAATTGATTAATCAAGGTCTGGCGTCATAGGATCAAAAGCCGCTCGTATGACCCCTGACGCAACCTCACAGTACAACTGGCCAGATCTTTATGTTCTGTAGGCCATCGAAAATAAAAAAAAAACGAAACGAAATATAGATCTGTACTTTAATCAGATTGTGTTCCCAAAAATAAATTGTGTATTTTCTAAAACTTGGTATCTGCTTTGGACTCTCGATCCTTTCAAATGCATCTTAGCTAAAGAAATAATATAGAGATATAAAGTTTCTTTTGCATGGTATGATAAGGAAATGCTTTGAGCTGTTCAGTAACGTTTGTTCTCTAAGTTTGATAATAAATTGCCTCGGTTAGGCTGTCTCCAATCTGTACTTCCGGTTCTCGACACCAGAATGTAGAAGAGTTTGATGTTGAGAAATGAATCCCAGAAGTAGAATGGATTAGTTGATTTGGGTATTAATTTAAGACATAACGTCTGACGCTTTGATATTTTAGCATACTCTATCTTGATGACATCTGTTTTAGCAAAGCTGTCGTTCAGCTAGTAAGAACGTGCGTGTGGTTAGTCGGGAGGAGATTGCTATCTTTGTTTATAACTTATAAACAAAACAACAAAATGGCATAATGTATATTATTCAAGTTTAAAAGAACTAGGAAACATTTACATGGGTCGTTCCGCTCGACTGTCTTTATTCCCTTACATCAATCTATCATCGGTGAGAAATCATAGCTACGCCACTAAGAGCAATAATTTGCACGAACATACATTAATCATTGTAAAACGCAAATAATAATGTTACAAACTCTTTCAACGTAATATTTAACGAATTACATTTTGTAGTCGGGAAAAGGGGTCCAAAAATGATTTTCATCGTTCCGCTCGTCAGTCCATTGATTTGCAACAGATGCCCCTCTTTAAAAAGAATCTTCTATCCGCCTATTGCAATCCATTCCATTTTCGAAGCCTGAGTTAGCATGCTGTTACTCCAGTGATACACCATACTAACCTACACCTCCTTAAACCTGAATTTGAATTGACACAATGCATTACAGCTTCGTTTAAAAGTTTTTCCTGGTCTTTGTTACAGACCATGATTTATTATATGGTATTTTTACACAACGGTATCTGTTACCCCACTTTCGCATTAACAGAACACAGTTTTTATGGGAAACAATCACTGGTTTATTCTAAAAGCACGACGTTTCGACAAGTATCCTCTTATCGTTATCAGGCACAATGACATTAGTAAACTTAGGATGAATATATAGGAGTTGCATGGTGAAGCTAGTGATCTTTAACATTGAGTACTATTACTGTGGCCAGTTTGTCGTGTTGTAATAACAAGTTTAGAACAGTGATGAAACTATATAGTATCCGTAAAACAATATAATTTATTAACGGCAGTAGTAATATTAGCAACTTTTATTGACCTCGGCTATCTGGGTTTTAAAATTAGCGAACAATGCTCATCGAAAATGGCTTCAATACTTCCTTTAAAATGGCACAACGTTAACCCCATTCGTTATATTATTACAATTTAGGTAATGTTTTAGCTGATTGGATGTTTTCGTTCTTTTTTTAGTGCATTTTGTGGACGGCGATCCGGATGAGATAAGATTAGTACATACACTGATGAAGGATTATGATAAGAGAATACGGCCATCTTTAAATGCTAGTCATTCACTAAATGTAACATTTGGATTAGCTTTAGCACAGATAATAGATGTGGTAAGTAAACATTTGGTTCTTTTATATCGGATGGATAACAAAACGAACAGAAATTCCCTTCATCCCCTTTTCTCTTGGATTTTTGTTTTGTTATGTCTTCACAACAATGGATATGGGTGATGAAGTGGTTCAGTTGGTGAAACGTCTGCTCGCTAACATGGTAGCCGCGGTTTCGTAGTGATTTTCCAGTGTAGTTTCCCCTTGCCCGAGAAGCAGATAGGTGTTTCATAAAGAACATCAGCTTCAGTCGTTCGGATGAGACGAAAAATAAAGGTCCCGGCAACATTTCCCTAATAGCCCAGGAGGACGTCAAACATCATACTGTGATCCACGTTTGCGTCGTTTGGGATTAACACAGTTCACAGTTTTATTATTGTATTGTCCTCATCAATTTATTTGTCAATTAATGCCTAAATTTTTTTTTATAACATTGCCATATTCATCCCCGTTCTTCATTTACCCGCCTCCAGGGTCCTCGTAGTATTAAAGTTTCGGTTTCCCAAACGATACCTAAACGATGGAATGGTGGGATTTATGGTGACCAAAGTGACGCTGGACGTAGGTCGATCTTAAGGAAGGATGATACAAATAAGTTGTTTGACTTTCGTATTACTGAGTTGCCAATCTATTACATAAAATGTTATAATACCTCAAAGGGTACAAAAAAGAAACGTAAGAACCATATTAGTGTTTATCAAGTTCCTATCCTCACATCATTTTGCCGTAAATTTCACGCTTTTGGTGAAAAATCATAGCTACACCACTAGTACCAATATGTGCGAACAAACATAAATTAATCTTTACAAACGGAAATTGTCACAAAAAATTGTCAATGTAAAATATAACCAATAGTAGCCTACTTTGTAGTCGCGAAAAGGGACCCAAAAATATTTTGCATCGCTAGCCCCCCCACCCCCACCCCTAGGCAAAAATCATTTTTTCGCCCTTGTTAGTCAATTTTGTTTTGGGGGTTTTTTTTTCGAAGTTCGTCATTATTTTGCCCATGTTGTGAGAAATTCGGTTTCACAAAATACAATATCGATAAGAACTGTTTTCATCCAGTCATGACAGTCCATAAATAATAACAATGCTATTTTTTCAATTTTGCTCGGTAATTCACTGAAATTTCTGACATGATTATAAGTCCAGTATGAAGATTTCTATTTTGTTCAATTATAAACACCATTGCTTTATTATGGTCGAAATGCTGGAAGACACGCGGGGTTCTCTGCCTGAAAAGATTTGCGAACGGCTTACCATTTTCCCCAAATAGTGACCAGTTCCGAATTTTCCAGGAATAAACAAGCTTCTTGCCATATGAAGTGTCGGATTTAGATGAATAGATGACCTGGGCTATTCCACGTATGGGGGGGGGGGGGCTTCCTAATCCTCCGTCCTCACGACTAGAGGACAGTGAAAGTATGTTTTAAACACAAATGAGCAAAGACGGGGATGATGGCGAATGTATAAGATTGCATTGCGTGTAAGAAAGGCCTATGGCAATGTCTGAAATATTATACACCTTGATCTGAGGCCCCCTAGATCTTGAAGTCTGTAGGTAAGTTCAATACTAGCCACATTGAATGCTTACATTCAGAACCTAATGGGTCATCACAATGGCGTATCTATGGAAAATGGCTCTTTTAAATTTCACAGTTTTTGCACAAACTGCTAAACTAGTTCCCTAGCTTACTACGCAGGAGAATGGTTTTACTGTCAGTGGCGCCTACTTACCATACCAAGGATACGTCATTGGGTTCACCACAAACGCATATATTCGGTTTAAACAAAATCTTGCGATTGTAGAGGCAGAACAGCCTTTTTTTACCCTGTGAAATCAGAGCTCGCTTCTTAATTTTATTTGTATTGTGGGTGTTTGACAACTGATTTAGTCTAAGAGACAAATCGTATTTACCACGATCAATCACTATTTACCACGAAATGGCGCTATTGTCGCAGTATATATATATAGTTTCCAATAAACAGATTATGACCGTTTATATTTATATATATATATATATATATATATATATATTTATACAATTATACCGCGTTCTCATTTTCCCACCGAATGTGTTAAACATGTATATAAGCCTTAACTATTATTCAAAACAAATTACTGCTCAATGGTGATAAATGTGGTCTTGTTATCGTCAATTTGGAAAAGACGTTTTCACAGCATTTACTTTAGTATCAAATACAAATCACTGGAGACAGGAGGAATTAGCGCAATTGATGGTTTGGCGAGATGTGAGACGTAAAAGTATATTTGCTTTCTAACACTTGAGGGAAAAGTCATCACACCTCCTTCATGCCGTTGTGGTTATTTTTTCTACTACTTGAACGAATGATAACATTTTTACGCGAATTTTTGTAAAGCAAATAAGGAACTAATTGCTTTCCCAGAGACAACGTCGATAAAAAAGGCCTTTTTTTAAAAAACAAAACAAACTTGACATCACTGTTCATTTAAAATTGCTGTGGCGTGCCAAAGTATTATCCTATACTAACCATTTGTTAAATACATTGTTGAGTCGATGTGGGATTGTTTTTTGTGGTCCTTATCAACCGACTTGAATCTGCTCCGTTCGTGATATTTTTTATTATTTAAAAAAAATACACCTGAAATTGCGAATCAACTGTTCTAAACACACCATTCCTTGTGAACGACACCCATAAATTAATACGAGAGAGGTGTGGTGGGGTGCAGGAGCGAACCTATCCTTTTTTCCCCCAAAAGCGTCTATCTCTGTGCATTATCGGTCGGAAACAAGAAGAGACGTTTCGTAAATCTCTACGATTTGAGGCAAAATACATATAACTTCTATAGCGTTCACAAGGTTTTCGGAAAAGCTTTCGGAAATCCGGAACAAAGGATTACAGGACGCTAAAATCGTCCTCTCACGAATTTGAAAAATTGTCCGTAGCCAATTGTGGACGAACACACAGGGGCTACGACATAATATGATATGCCCATACTAAATGTGGGAGTATAAAAATCAATTGGAAAAAATAGCAAAAAGAACTGCGCGTTTATTTTTCAAAAGGAGCTATCGGGCCGTTAATAATCCATATCATAGACTAAACAAATACTAATTATCGACAAGCAGAGTGATAGATTTTCTGAGTGTTTTAATTTTAATTATTGGATCAGGACATTGAACTATAAATTGTACATTTATTATAGAATAGTTTACCTTTATTTTAAATGATAATAGTGCAATCGACCCTAAAGGGCGTTCAAAATACGAGAGAAATTAATAATTAATGCAATTAATTGTGGTTTGTCGAGAATGATGCCATGTATTGGAACTATGAAAGTAATCATCTGTCATCGAGAATGGCTTTACTTTCCCCATCACCTTCAAAAGAAAATATAACTACTCCGCCAACCGCTCTTCTATCTTTATCTACTGCTTGGGCAACACGACCAGGCTGCAGAAACTCACCTGACAAAACTAGATTATCGGCAAAGATTCTAAAGGCCATTTTGCTGTAAATAAAAATGTACCCCAAAACGCACTAGCGCCGACCACACCATATGCGACTTAAAATCGTTTATTTCTCCAAAATTCAAAGAACAATATCCTTACATCTGGACATCTCCAATACACGAACTCATGGTAGAACAAAAGCCTTCAGGCGAACTGACTGGTCTACGGAATCTAAAAGCGTGTTCACATGTTCCCCGGAGAATGATTTTGACGAAACTTAAAATATAGGTTTATGTCCATACTAATTAAAACACAGATCCTATTTCGTTTCGTTTTTTATTGTTCAAAATTTCGTTTTACTTGTCTTTACTACACTAGGATCTGAAAGAGTTGGTATATAACTCGCGTTCTGGATGCTGTGAGGGATTAGCCAATGAAACGGTCTGTTACAGCGAATGGTTGATTAATCAATGTCATAAGGTCAAAAGCCGCTCGTATGACACCTGACGCGACCTTCCACTATAACTGGTCAGATATTCATGTAGTGTAGACCATCGAAAGTATATAAAAAAACGAAACGAAATATAGATCTGTAGTTTAATCAGATTGGTTTATATCCCAAAGTTGGCATGTATCGGACCGTAACTTCATGTATTATGGCCCTTGATTGTTGACACTCTAGAGGTCACATTTTTCTATCCGATTTATATGAACCTTGAAATATGCGGTTATAGCCCAACGATCTCGATTCCTTCTAGAGGTCACAATTTTGATCCGATTTTAAAAACTTTTCAAATGTATCATCGTTACATCCTAATGACAATTGGGTTCGAAAATCCGATCGACACTGTCCGACAAAATGGCCGCTCCTCGTACGCAAATAGTGTAAAAGTATGTAATACCAAAGTTGTTGGCCCTCTAGAGGTCATAATTGTTTAGCCGATCTTGATGAAATTTAAATTCTATGATTTTATCCCAAAGATCTTGGTTCCAGTCGATATTGACATGTATTGGATCGTAACTACATGGATTATGGTTCTTGATTGTACGAAAATTAATGTTTTTAGAGGTCACAATTTTTATCCGATTTTTAAAAACCGTTCTAATATTTCGCCGTTCCCCCTAATGACCGTTGAGTATGAATTTCGTGAAAATCGAATCGAAACTGCTCGACAAAATGGCCGCTCCTCGTACGCAAATAGTGTAAGCGTATATATACTCTTCAAAAAAATAAGGGATATTCAGAAACAATACAAAACTGCGGTAGCCAGTGTATGTTAATAACAGACCAATTGCCTCCACATGAACATAAACAGTTCATATGGGCGGCTTATCTGACGGCCCCAATTCACTCGCAAAGATATACACTGTCAAAAGTGAAAATGAACGTTTTTGATATTTGTCTTAATAATGAGTAATTGCTCCACCAATCGTTAGAAATTCGTCGTGGCATTCTCCTAATCAACCGTCCAATCACGATTTGGGGCAATCTGGCCTACTTCTCTTGTAGTGCCACGGTCATTTCTTGCAGTGTTGTCAGTTGACGTTGACGTCGACGAACACGTCTCCCGATCAAATTAAACGTAACACACTAAAGCAAAGATACGCTAAACAGTAAATCTTATGCAAGAACCGATAGGAGAGAGAGAGAGAGAGAGAGAGAGAGAAAGAGAGAGAGAGAGATGGAGTTTAACGTCCACTCAACACAAACCAGGTCATTTCGGGACTAACATATGGTTCAATTTTTTATTTCAATAATTTGCTTGCGCGTAGGGGTCTTTAGCAGTGGGAGGAAAACCCACGAAGTTGGACAGGCGATCCTACTCCTTGTCACGTACAACCGGGGATTCGAAACCACGCCAGTTGACTCAATAACAGACTTTATGATACAGCACGCACGTGCTAACCAGAACCGATAGGAAAGCAAACATGGATAGGATAAACCAACAAGCGGCAGTTTTCATCAACCCTTCCTTGAAGTTTCAAATTTGACAATGAACCCCTCCCACGTCTATGGCGCTATTGTGTGTCGCACATGCAGCTCAGTGGTTCTGTTGGGGCGATAAGTTCTTCATCTGCACATACTCTCAAAGCATGTGAAGTGTCCATGACTATTTATCATATCACAACCTGCATAGGTATTTGCATTTCAATATCCCCTACTTTTTTTTTGAAGAGTATAATACCAAGATTGTTGACTCTCTAGCTACAGCTCACAATTTTTATCCGATTTTGATGAAACGTAACATATATGTTTATATCCCAAAGAACTTGGTTCCTTGGGATATTCGTGCATATCGGACAGTAACTTTATGAATTACGGTACCTGATTGTACGAAAAGTCACGTCTAGAGGTCACAATATTTGTTCTATTTCAAAATTTTCCCGTCAAAATGGCTGCTCCCCTTTACTCAAATAGTGTTAAAGCATGTAATACCAAGATTGTGGGCACTCTAGGGGTCACAATTTTTATCCGATTTTGATGATGCTTACAATGTATGTTTATATCTAAAAGATCTTGGTACCTTATGTCGGACTGTAACATCCAGGATTATGGCCTCTTATTGTACGAAAATTGTTTTTCTTTGTCCATCTCTCTCAAAATGTGGGCGTATTTTGCATAGCAACCGCTTGTTATATTATTATTTTGTCGTTAGTGAATATACCATTGCTAAATACACCCGCATTGTCTTGTAGGATATGTTTTCGTTGTTCATTACAAATGGCGGCCGAATCCATAGCGTACTCGTGCGACCCCATTTTTCGTCGATGCCGTGGATTGTACTCCACGTTTGTTTTCATGTCGTGTACCCTCACTTTAAATTTGCTTCTACAGACTATGAGTTTATTCACAATGTTATTCAGTATAATGTGTTTTAAACTAATGACAATTTTAGAAATCAATGTTTAATGTGTACACTAATTGGCTTGTTCGAATCACTTAAACTGTACTATAAGTGCAGCATTATTAGACAATTCGTCGTGTGTACACATAAAATAAAAGAATAAAAATTAAAATTCTGGAATGCTAAAACGGAATCATGTTTGTTTTTGATTCCCCACATCGAAACCTTTGCTGCTGCTATTGAGATATAAGTGGTATCGATCAGATTCCTAAAAAGTTAATGATTAAAATGTTCATATTCCTGGTTCTAAGGATAATGATTTTCGATAGTCTGCTTATATAAGTTTCATTAATTAAGCAAACCGATAACTTGTGAACCGGTCAGTAGAACTCCTTCCATGATGCCCTTTCGATCGTCAGTCCTAAACCTATAATAAAGATTTGACTTCTTCTTCGTAAACGCTTGGATAGATTTTATTCTCGTTAGGGGAATATCTATATTATCTGTGCATCTTCATTATCTTCAAAAATTGTGATTCATGTGGCAGTCAAACAATCATACTGTTGCACAATTGGGTTCATATAGCAGTCAAACAATCATCATGTTGCACCATTGAAACGAAAGATAAATCATATTCGGCGCAAAGCGAGGCATTGTTATATTGTATGGAAGCCTATAACTACCATGCGTAATTTCTACTTTTCGCCCCTTCAGGACGCGAAAGTCGGAAAGTAGAAGTTATGTTAAAATGTAAGACGACAGTGTGGACACCAAAAAAAACCACTCGAAAATAGGAAATAAACACACCGAGATATTAGCGCCTCTCGTTTTGTCGTGACTTCTACGACAGCATGCCCGCGAAGCAAAAATCGACTCGAAAACAGGAAAATAAGAAAAAAACACCCCGCGATATTAGCGCCCCTCGTTTTGTGGTGACTTCTACTTTTCGAGTTGCATTTTGGCTTGTGTAACATGATGTCGACTTTCGACTTAATGATATTTGGTATGAGAGTTGGCGTTTTCTTACTGACATGGTGTGCATGCTGCTTCTACTTTTCGACTTTCGCGTTTTGAAATTACGAATGGTAGTTATAGGCTTCCATAATATTGTGCTATTGCACATTTTTTGTATTTTCTGATGTACATTAGCTCTAAGATAACAATTAGAATTGAATGAGGTTTCACCTCCCGTCCACTCTTTTACTTTTTGCATTTCTACGGTTACCTGTACAGTGTGAGGGACGGTTGGGTGGTCCGGACTATGAACTTTCTTATTATCTTCGAATTTCAAATTTCGATGCAATATTTTTGTATGCACTAACAATGTTCACACGGAGCATCTGAGAATCTGGGAACCGGAAGGGGACTGATCCAGCGACATTCTGATTGTGAATCCGGTGTGTTGTTAACCACCGTGGCCCTCACAAGTCAACGAAACCTATCATTACCGTCTACAATAAAACTTTCCAAACGCCAAAAGCTCTTAAATATGTGAACTTTTAATGGGTTTGATTTCTTGGTAACCGTAAGACACCATTTTCAGCAATGGTCCCGAGAGTTACATCCCTTGATTACCATATCTTATGATTTCATGTGTATAAAAATTGTGCTATTTTAGCTTGGCAAGGTTCCTCAATACAGTTTCATCAACAATCGTTCCATGTTATCTTTAGACCTCGGGGAGGGTAATATTGTGAGCTAAAATGAATGATAAACCGCATTTGTGCCCCCCTTTCCCTTATAAATCCGGACCCTGAAAAATCTACCTTGACTAAGAAATCTTCTTAATACCTCAGAGTCCATAATTATCATCCAAACATTTTGGAATTTCATTAGGTTTTCCATATTTTTTAGTACAGAACAGAACCATTCGGATGTTGCATTACGGAGACGGTGAATATATTACAATCTGTGTATTATTATCGTATATTAAATCATAATACATTTTACTTTTATGTTTCAAATATCCTTGTTTTTAAACTAACTGGAAATAAGATCAAAGACGATTATTTATGCAAAAATGGCATGCTGTGATAAGAATTTTCCCTTCCTTTGTGAAAATACAGAAAGCAGATAAAGCTAATGATGTGGTGTGACATGTTTGAATAAAATAAAAATCGAGCTAATATACGTGTTTACATAGGACACGGTATCTAGATCAATCACATCCTCACTGTTTACACGAACTCGTTTATACACAATAATGGTAATAGGATACAATTTTTTTCTCGAAAAGTTTAACTGAGAAAATGTTTTGTTAAAGAAACTTTAACAAATATGCATCCAATATTTATAAACCTGTCTTTTAGTTTGAAAAAAAAAATGTATCTATCTTCCTTTCCAAGTTATTTGTTTAATATCTGCATGTAAAGACAGAGGAAAATTGATCGGTGCTTGTAGTCATCCCGATTACTTTAGAATTAACTTTTTTGATCTCAGAATTTGTAACTTCAATGTCAAATTAAATAAGCGAGGGGGGGGGGGGTAACGCCCACTCGACACAACCAGGTCTGTTCGGGATTAAGTTCAAATGTATTGCGCGTAGGGGTCTTTAGTGGTGGGGGGAAACCAAGCGCCTGAGAGAAAATCAACCAGGTTGTGCTGACGCGTACAAGCGTGGGATCGAAACCACACCACTTGTAGCCCGACCAGCATCTTAGACTCCATCGTTGATCTATAATCAAGCCAATCGATGGTTTAGTATAGATTATAAACCAAACACGAACGAATAATGTAAAAAAAATTCGAATCGACGGATGTCTGGGTAATGTTGGATAGTTAAATTCAGTATTCTGTCTTCCATCCACACCACCAATCCCCAGAAACGTTTAAACCCCTGTTTTATCTCGGTGCCATATATATTTTATGCCAAAATAAGTACACGTATAACCAATGTTGTTACGAATTATCCCATATTAAATAGAAATTTCAACGATGTGTTTAATTTACAGCTTTTTAAATTACTATAAGCACCCACTTTTTGTTGCATACGTACATGTAACTATAGCAATATTTATGTTCCAAAACATTTCACTTGGTTTTTGTTTAAATTTCAGGATGAAAAGAATCAGATATTAACAACAAATTGTTGGCTAAATCAGGTATTTAACACGTTTTTATTTATTTATAATCTGATTAAAACACAGATCATATTTCATCTCGTTTTTTATAGTTCATTTATTTTACTTGTACTCGTTGTGAAGACCATCGAAAGTATAAAACACGAGACGAGATATTGATCTGTATTTTAATCAGATGAACTGATTAAGATGATATAGAAATTACATTGATGATATCCTCATTGGTTGTATTATTTCCTTTTGCTGTTATTTATTTATACGTATACACTGAACATAGGCACTGAGATTGCTGAAACATACGTATTTTAACATGATAATTAGATTTGATGTTTTCAAGGAGTTTAATATATCTACGTCTCGATTGGAAACTGCTGGTTTAGAGATTTGAATAGTCGATAGCAACTACAGAAAGACAGGGTCATGATTGCTACTTACGTGTGTGATTAAGGCGTGCGTGATGAAATAAAACCAATTAGCGCACAAGTGGTACACCCTCACACGCGCCCTAATTATACAAAATAGATTCTCAAAAAATTGTTTAAATGGTTGTTCTACTTTCCTAGCCGTTGATTTGAGGGAAAACACGTCTATGTAAGAGCTAATTCTGCAAGTCTTTAGTTTGTCTTCAAATGTTAAACAGACTATTAGTTTTACATTGTATTCACATGACAAGCCTATCATCAACTCTCTAGATCATCGGGTGGTCGTGATTTGAATGGGCTAGATCAAATATCGTTGCTACAATAATATACAATCCACGCTAAATCTTGTCAAAACTTCAACTACTCATAACTTCGCTCAGATTAAAGTAATATGAATGAATTTTTCAATATATTCATGTTTCATTGTCTATTTTTGATCTATTATAGCAAGAACTGTTAGCTCTTGATCTAAATCAGGCATCTTAAATTGTTACTTTCATACCAGAGAGTGTCAGAGCGATCAGCGCACATATTGACTACATCAATCTCAGTATCACCAAATTAAATTGGCACTTGCAAACAGAAAATATAATCTAATAGGTTAAACATCTTTCCAAATAATTTAATTTTTCATGCTGTCGTTTCCATTATATAATCTAATTTTGCATTAAAATTAGATCGTACCGGTCCGTTAATTGTGGAATCCATTCGTGTGATTTGAAATTATCACAATTTGAATCACGCCCCATTGTTATTTATTCTATGAATTATTCGCCATCCTATCAATGGTTATTCTGAAAAACGCTTTTCCGTTGTTTATTTTTTGTTTGTTGCATTTCACCGAGTCTTTAATACAAATCCACTTCTAATTCTCCCTAAAGAATGTTAAAATGAAACCTTTTCTCTAAGGAGTAATTTCTGTTCAAAAAAGATGATGAAAAATAGATTGAAAAAAAATATATCAGAAGTCGGCCATGATTTTGATCTATAGCTACGTTCTGGCGACTTAAATAATGTGCGCTGCTTCTAAAGCTGTAACATATTAATCCAATTCTTTATCGTGATCATAATATTGTTTATCTATACTAAAAAGTCTTTTTAAGCAATTTTCAATTACCGTAATGTCAGTTTTAATCTTTTTTGTCTTTTCAATTATTTTGTTTTCTATTGAATTGTGACAGTTGTTATCGGTGTACGTAAAAGGTTTTGTTTTTTTTGTTTAGAAATGAGAGCAAGCGAATCGTCGAACTGATATGGTGAAGTCTTTCGAATAAATGGATTCACCCACGCACCAAACACCCCCTTGATACTCAGCAATCAAGCATGCTGATTTTTCCTCCGTGGAAAACCACTTAGAACGTCATCTGTTGAATCCTTTGATTGGGTTAAAATAATTCTAAAACTAATTGTTTTTCATTTGAATACGGCAACATGGGAATATGGTCGTATATTGTCGTCGCCCCCGTCCGTCCGGCTGTCGGTCTATCCGTCCGTCAATCCGTCGTTCACAATTTCTTGTGTACACTCTACCGTCTACATTTATTATCTGATCTTTTTGAAATTTATATATGTTGTTTACGTTAGTGAGACGAAGAAACCTAATTGATTGTTTCATGTTTTAGAACCCCCAATCTGTATTTTATTTACATGTATTATTTAGATTAGTAAAACAAAGAAGTCTATTGAATCTCAAAAATTTCTCTTAATAACTTCTAGAGTTATGGCCCTTGTTTCACTTTTTTTTACTCTGTGAACGCCCTAACGACAAAGGTTATCGTCCGTTCTGTGTTAAATTTACATGCATTATTCAAATTAGTAAAACGAAAAAGTCTTAATTATTAGGTCACCGAATCCTGCTTTCACAGATAAAACCCCTCCATTCAAATTTGCTGCAGTAACGTTATCTAATCGAAGTCTCTGTGTGGACTTGCTGCAAAAAGATCTCATCTGAAATCATATTAGTGCCCCCCCCCCCTTTAACGCGGTGCCTTGCCGTGACTTAAATGTTTGTTTTGCTTGTATTTTATTGTAATTTATTTTAGATCTGGGTTGATTATGGTTTGCGGTGGGATCCAGACGAATATGGTGGTATAAAAGTTATACGTCTGCCTTTTGAGTCCGTATGGAGACCTGATATACTGTTATACAACAAGTAAGGTTTTGGAAAACCAGTTTATATTTATTTGATGTGGTCATTTCAACAAAATGTTTGAGGTTCCAATCTGGCAACCTGCTGTTTGTTTTTTTAAACTATAAAAACATCAACGTTAAGTAACCTGCGTTACATGCACGTGTAACGCTCATCATAAGTGAAACCATTGGTGACATAAGACTTGCATACATCTGAGTACTGTGTCGTAAAGATTCATTCCGTTGATTACGTTGATTACTTGGAGTATCATTTCAGCTCTGATTGACTGTCTTTAACATCAAGTATATGATAAAGGTTTCCGAAAACAGTGGGACAACATCTCTGTTAGATTTCAGACACTCCATAAATGCTTCATAACATTATTATTTAGTTTGCATTGTATGACTTAGATTGTATTATTTGACTTAGATTGCATTATATGACTTCGATTTTCATTAGTTGAAATAACCATTTCCCCGGGCTTGCCACAGGGCTCTGTTCTCGGTCCTCTCCTTTTTCTCATTTATATAAATGTTATTTTAAGTGAAATCACATCAAATATTTGACTCTTCGCTGACGACACTTCCCTTTGTCTAAAAATTGATGACCTTATCCAATGACCTGGATAAAATTAACTCATGGGCTAAATCATGGCTGGTATCCTTCAACCTACTAAAGATCGAAACACCAGCACCGACAACCCCCAAAACTCTAAATAGTGTTCCTATCAAGGAGGTCCCAGATCACAAACATTTAGGCTTGACTTTTCAAACATATTAACGACATTATCAAAAAACCCAGCAAATCTGTCAATTGTTTAAGATCCCTTAAATACAGACTTAACTGTAAATCGTTACAAACCATCTGGGACAACTGCACAGACCAACTAGCTAACAAATTAGAGCACCTACAACTGGATGCACTTAGGTCCATATGTGGTGCTGTAAGGGGTACCAACCATAGACTGTTATATAAAGAAATCGGTTTTATTACGCTAAAAGAAAGACGCAGAAGACATAAACTCCAATTCATTTATAAAATTATAAACGACCTTTCTCCATCTTATCTTCATGATTTATTCTTGACAAAAAGCGCACATTATAATCTCCGAAACACATGCCTACCTGAATATAACTGTAAAACAAATACTTTCTATAATAGGTTCATACCACCGTCAATTAGAGAATGGAACAAATTATGTGCAGACACAAAAACTCAATATCTTAAATTATTTTCAATTCGAAACTGATGGTTCAAGATTCAATACCACCAAAAACTTTTTCGTTTGGATCCCGCGCAAACCAAATCATTAATTCGAAACTGCGCCTATGCGCCTATCTTGCAGCAATCTAAACGGACATAAATTTTATTCGTTACATTTCTGATAATCCATGCTGTAAAAGTGGTCATCACTTTGAAGATACAAAACATTTTTTTTCATTGAATTGCTCCTTATATTCAGATGCCCGAAATAATACAATAAATAATTTACCTACTATCCATCGAAACACTACTGTCTTATTGCACGGAATTGACAACATGGAAAACTCACTCAATATTTTTAAAACTGTCCACTTGTTTTTCGAAATCACCAGACGGTTCAAGGGACAACTATAACGCACCCATTGTAAATATATTATAACTTGTACATTGTTTGCTTATTTCTCAAATGTAAATTCATTCCAGAGACAGCTATAACACAATCACTGTAATCATACTTGCACGTGTACATTGATTATTTATCTCTAAAATGTAAATACCTTTAATGACATGTATCTATATCTGACAGGAAGAAGGGTTTAATATAGGCTATGTCTGTTTCCTAATCCCTATTCCGATACAAATCTGAATAAAAATATTGCTTATAAAAAAAGACATGTATGGAAGGTGTTTTAGCTGTTCATCTGTTTGGAAAGGTTGCTTAAGCATGGATATCATTAATAAGAAGTCGCAGATACCGATAATAGTATATTTACCTGAGTTTCAAAATGATCGCAAAACACATTATAAGGGATAAACGTTGCTATTCAACTTTTCCACTGGGTACGCTTTTGGGTCAAAGACAGGCTTGTCAAGACAAAGGGTGATAGTTAGTCAAAGAATTCGGATTTGACTCAACCTGGCTACTGGGCGTTGTTAGCCTATTTGTTTGAAAACGTATTCCAGAGCTTTCGGTTGTTGGTGCCCACACAGAATTATCCTATTTTAGCATCTGTAATTTGAGACTGTTCCTTTGAACAGATTAAAGTCATATTACTTGCTAGAACACGAATAACTTGTTTGTTTTTTTCTATTTTTCAGTGCAGACGTGTCATCTGTATTTTCCTCCATCAGTTCAAACGTCATTGTTACTGCGGATGGTAATGTCACATGGTTGTCAATGGTGATTTTTAAAAGTTCGTGTTCAATTGATGTTCGGTACTTTCCGTTTGACGAACAAAATTGCACGATGTTGTTTGCATCATGGACCTACGACGGATATCAGTTGAATCTTATTATGAATTCCGGAGACGGTGATACCACGAATTACATCCATAATAGTGAATGGGAGCTTGACAGATTGAAAGTTGAGCGCAATGTAGTGTATTATTCTTGCTGCGCTGAACCCTATCCGGATATAACGTTCTACATCCATATAAGGAGACGCCCTTTATTCTATATTTTCAATATGATATTACCATGTATAATGATAACATTGGTGGCGCTACTGGGATTTTATATACCGTCTGATTCAGGAGAAAAAGTAACCATGGGAATAACAACTTTATTATCTATGACAGTTTTTATGATGCTGGTTACAGAAAACATGCCACCCACTTCAGATGTTTTACCATTGATAGGTCAGTATACATAATTCGTTTACCGCTTAGAAGTGGGGGGAGGGGTCCACGAGGCTCGGGGTGACCCTTCTCCTTGTCACGTAAAAGCGGGACATGGAACCTATCACTAGCATAGATAACATGTCTAATGAACTACAGCGCTCAGCCACCCTACCCTCCGCCCCGAGTTGGACGTTTATTTTTTACTTTAAAGGATTTAGCGTAATAGGAATTGTGAAAGTGTATTCCTAAAATGAATATCAGTCCAAAAATTGTTCAATTCTGTTCAGTATTACAAAGTTCTGATGAACTGAAATCTGTGCTGCTCGAGACACCTGATGGGCCTACTTTAAATCCGATTGAGTCCACGCCAGGAGATTATCTAGCGTTTGTATTTTGATGTCGTTTTCTTAATTAAATGTTAAATAATGAATCCGGGTACATTTTTAGCGCATATTAAGCCGTGCGAAATTTATGCTGCTCGAGCGTAACAAGATGCCGCCATCTTTTATTGGTTGTTTAAATCCGATTGAGTTCATGTCTGGAGATTATCTAGCGTTTGTATTTTGATTTCGTTTTTCTTAATTAAATGTTAAATAATCAATCTGAGTACATATTAACTTGTATTAAGCCGTGATAAATCTGATATTTTGGCGAAAATGCAAATGACGCATCGAGCCTTTAATCAAGGAAATACACATAAATTTATCTATTTTGTTCTATATGCACATGGAATGACATTTTGAAATTCCAAGCTGTGGCCTGACAGCAAGATCTAGTTGCCTATGCCACTTTTACCTCTCAATTTAAACACTATGTTATTTAGGTGCCCCATGTATGACATGCGTAATGGAACGTTTGAAACAGGAAGTTTAGACGCCCACATGGCTGAAATACTGGGTAGAAAGTTTGTTCGGTACAAATGGCAAATGAGAACATATCAATCTAGAAAAGTATGTAAAACATACTGAAATGAATAAGAAATACTGAAATGAATAAGAATCGGTGTCAGAAGTTCTAAGAAAAGAATAACCTCATCGTGCCTCGGGAGATCTCATTAGGTTTGATTCAAAGAAGCATCGTCCGTAAACCGATACAATTCCAAATAATGGTGGGTTAAGTAATATTCATACTTTTTACGCACTTATAGCGCACGTGGGAATTATAGATATATTTCTTAGACAGTACAACCTGTCCAGCGATACAATAGCTGTGATTTAAGATGAGCATCGCTCTAATAATTTATAGAATGAGCGAACGCCCCAGTAGAATGGGCAATACCGTAAGTGTTTTGAAGTGTAAATGTTTTTCGTCACTTATTGAACTTGAAATATTGAAATGTTTTACAATCAAATTAAGCCCATATCTTTAAATATATTCGTTTTTGTCGTTCTGATTTTCTAAGCTGGATGAAATCTAACATACAACAACTGTCATTTAGACGACTGTGTTATGCACGAGATTTCAAATAGTTTATAAATAGATCAGATGGTCATGTCTTGGCAGTGATAAAACGGGCTAAGCCCGGTAGTATATGATATACGGAATATAAAATGAAACAAAACGAATTTGAAAAATATAATTTTAATCAGGTTTAATATCTTAGCATTTACTATTGTTGGTATTCATCCTATCTTTTCTAATAAACCTGTGTAATTTTTATATTTCAGGTTTATACTATGGAATGACTATATTTATTGTGTCTTTTGCTACTGCGATGACAGTTTTTACATTAAATATTCACCATAAAGGTGCACGTGGCCTGGAAGTACCAAAACTTATTAAAACAATCTGTTTTGGATTTTTTGCTAAACTATTTTGTATGAAGATCGATTCAGATTCAAAGAAAATGTCGGTAAGTTTCAATATTAATTGTGTATCGCTAAAAGATTTTATTTGGAAGCAGAAACTTATTATTTTTAAAACGCACTATTCTATTATTTTGTAAATATGAAATGCGAGGAACGCTATATATTGGGTGCAAAATATATGTAATAACTTCGATAAAAGAATTTATCCAATTTCGAAATCATTTCATGAAGAGGTCTAGAATTATATTTATATATATTTTCTGGTCATTAACAGTTTCCACAAGAGTGCAATGGTTCCACCCCTAATACAAGTTATATTAGATACAAGATGGCGCCACAGCATGACGTAGAAGCTTCACATAAAGGAAATCCCAGGGTAAAATTTTACATACAATTAACAACCATAATCCTTTGGGTATTGATTATTGAGATCCCTTTTGTGAATAGATGAGGCATCTAGCTTATGGTCTGAATCTAAATCTAAAACAGATTTGATAGTACATGGTATTTGATAATACCCATGAAAACACTCCGATATCAGTTATTCGACCCTCTGTTATTTTGATTATTTTATGGCTTTTCGTTCCGGGTCGATATAATTTTAATTTTACAGTATTTGAAAAATGTTTTCTTTTATTATTAGGATTTGATACCACCAACTGAACTATCTGCATTTAGCCACAGTACTCATAGTCATAGTCACAGTCATGCAGATACTAAATTTGAAAGCGAAGCTAAACAGTCGAACGGAGGTGTTCACTTCCAAAGGTTTCATCCTGTAACGTCAACGAGTAGTCCAACAATAGAGAATTTTGAGTTACAATTTATGCGGGTGCTGCAAAAAGTGTATCAGACAATCGAGCGAAACGAAATGAGACTTGTAGACAATGACAGACGAGAAGCCATCAAACTTGATTGGCAACAAGTGGCCCAGATTGTGGATCGGGTCCTACTATCGTGTTTTGTGATAATGACCATGGTGATAACTGGCATTGTGTTGCTTTCAGCTCCACGATCCAATATGGAAAATCCAATGTGATCCATTTTTTTTCTTCTTTATTTGACTTATACATTTTCAACATTTTTACATGATCATGTTTTGAACTATTATTTCTCTGGTAGTGGGCCGCTCAACGAAGACAAAGTGAAAGCAGGCTTTCTGTTTATATCGTAAATTTTAGTTGGTGACTGTCATATTATAGTGACGGAATTAAACAAAGGGTGATGCTATTAATTGCTGTGATAGCGGTTTACAAGTGAATAGAATACAGTGTAACTCCCAAATATGAAATTGGAACTCTTAAATATTAAACGGTATCCGTATACATATTGTAAACTTAAACCTGTAGGCTTTAAAAATTATCTGTAAGTGATTATAATTATGAGAAGTTTTAAATAAGCAACACAGTAAAATATAGAACCATTGCGTTATTGACTCTATTAATTCATGGATATTCGATGGCCCAATTCACCTAGACGAGGCTAAGTTAATGGATATATTCTATTGGGAATGGATTTATGGAACTACATCATACACAAAACAAAAATCTTGGGATAATGTGTTGAGTGTAAAGATAGAAAGCACTCTTTTAAAATGTTTTACACACTAAAGTTAATCGAAATTGGGTCTGTGCCATGTGTGTTGCAGTGGTAAGTGTATAAGTCATTTATACAATCCAAATATGAAATCCATAAACAAAAGTTAATTATGCGTGATGATTTATAGAAAAAAAACAAAGTTTGCAGTATATGTGTATGATTTATAATATAATTCTTCTTTATTCAATGTAGAGAAATTGGTTTGTAAAAATATATCATTTCAAAATGTCTACGGCGAATATGGCAGTATTACCGTCAGTTCTTTGGACCTTATTATGCTAGGTTCCCACTGTCATGTGATGCGTTACGATTGGATTGTCCCTATTGAGTCCACGATCTGGTACGTGAAGATGCGTTTGGATACGTTTCGATACGATCAAAGTGATTGCCACAACTGACCTCACTATATGATAAGATCTGATAGGATCACTACGATTACTCCACGATTAAAACCACGATTTCAATCGTAGCGCGAATCGCGATGGTGAGAACCTAGCATCAAGGAAGGAAAACCCGCGCATAAAACCAATTTGTGGAACGTTTGGAGAATTTTATCATAATGTAGAAAATTGTTTACATTAACGACGTTATGTTTAAACACACAAAACAGCGTTTTATTAATCACGTTTCATGAACATAGAAAGTACCATTCCTATTACAGCCTCTTTAAAAGATTCGTATAAGGATAAAATGGATCTAGCTAGGATGCCTCGGGGCAGTATTTTTTCTTCATTATCGGGTCTTGTATTCGTGTGTAAAGTGAACTTAATGAATAGACTCTAATTTCTGTATGTATGATTTTAACATTTGATCTTTGGAGTGTTAATGTAAGATACTATTATGGAATATTATATGTACAGTTCCCCCACATTATCCCTTTTACTTCACAATCGCCTAGGTTTTTTTCTCGACGGTGTAATACTTAAATAACGGTCACTATGCGCACAAAATAACATAATTATATAAAAACAAAAAATAATCTTGATGCTGTATGAGGTATGAATTTAATGTCCTCTTTGAAAGGAAATATAGTATTTGATATTTAAAGCTCAAGGTATTAGAGATTTAGTTATAAACGAATTGGGAATACTAACGATTTTTACATGAGAATTGGGAATGCTAACGATTTTTACATGAGAATTGAAACAGAGCAAGATATTTTTAATATTAATATCAGACTAAAACATTAGATAATATCGAATCGAATCGACTATATTAGAAGGGGAAGTTTGCCCTTTAAATTATCCGTGTTCTATATTTCTTAGAAATTTATGTAAATAAGTGCAAATTATATGATATTTGATATGCAATTTTTTGCACGGGTTCAATTACGTAATGTGCATGTATTACTGACAAGATATGAATGTATTACTGACAAGATATGATATATCACATTAAAACCCGATTTCCACTGGCATCAATCCAATGACAATCTGGTTAAAACACAGATCCTATTTCGTTTCGTTTTTATAGTTCAAAATTTCGTTTTATTTGTCTTTACTCCGCTTGGATCTGGAAGAGTTGTTATTTAACTCGTGTTCTGAATGGTGTCAGGGATAAGCCAATGAAACGGTCTGTTACGGCGAGCTTTGGTTAATCAAATGTTTGACATCATAGGGTCATAAGTCGGTCTTTTGACCCCTGACGTGACCTATCGCTATAACTTGTCAGATCTTCATGTAGTGTAGCCCATCGAAAGTATAAAAAAAAAACGAAACGAAATATGGATCTGTATTTTAATCAGATTAATCCAATGAAACACCGAATCGACAAATAAAAATACTAGTCGAACGAATGGATTACCTGTCGATGGAAGGTAATTTCATTCGATTGATACCATTGAAAATCACTGTTTGCATCTATATCCGTTCAGTTTGTCTTTGTGGACCGACTAATGTGCTGTGTTGTTGTTTTTAATTTAGAATTCTGTTAGTAGCCCCGTGGACAGCTATCGTTATTATATGGTTTATGTTATGTATATAATTGAAAGAAAGATATGTTTAATAATATTAAAGGGTTGTGGAATTTTAAACTCATTGTATATAAATCACAACAGTATGGCTACATATTAAAATCTGGGAGAACTTTACAAAATTAAATTCTAAACATGGACATTAAATATATATATATTGGCTTACAATTGCCAGTCGCCATTACTGGATTACAATATAGCGATCATCAAGTCCTGTTAAAAGCCCAACTACTTCTAGTCCTAGATAATCCACTAGAAGACGGCGTGTTCATAGCTACGCGTTATGTGTTAGTTGATCACGGTGCAACTTCGAAATGGTAACTGTCAATTCCATTTATTTATAATTCTTGGTGGTTCAGATAGTTTGCGAAATATTGTAAGCCAGGTACGCACATCAACCAGCACGGCTTCTTTTATTTGGTTTTGATATGAAATGATAATTTGCTGTTTATACGACCGATATCCGATATGTTTCTAATCCCCCGAAAACAGGTAAAAGTACAACAACGAATGTTCATCATCTTTTGTCTGAATCTGGGGGTAGCTTGAGTACTTATACTTCAATTTATTACCTAGTCTCCGGGCCCAGAACCTTATGAATGATCCTACGTTTTTTAGAGGTCAATTCGCTGCCCTGTCCTATTGGTATCCAATTACAGGGTGTAAGTGTCTTATTCAAGGACACAAGGATTCGCAAAGGTACGAAAGAACTATGTGATTTCACGACGCCTTCCGGTTAATATCTGCCATCGACTTTCATTTTCAATGAAATTTTACTTTCATTTTCAATGAAATCTTACTTTCATTTTCAATGAAATCTTACTTTCATTTTCAATAAAATCTGAAATTACATGAATAGCAGGTTTTCACTCAAATCTTGGATGTTAAGTTAAAGAATGACTTGATCAATTGTACATTGTATAATGTTCACTTCGGTAATTTTTTTTCTTCCTAATCAAATAGTCCATATTAATTCTATGGAGGTCTGTTCACTTTAGTGAAATGCTGACATCTCAAATTTAAGTGTGTTAGAAATATTGGCAACATCGATTCATCTTTCTGAAATTTCATGAATAGTAATCCATTTGTTTCGAGTAATCATTTAAAGTAGCAATATTTATTGCCATCTAAAAACTTATTAAATCTTGCAAAGGCCATAAATTCTAATTCTGGCTACCAAAAAAATATTGTTTTTGTTTTTTTATATTGTCTATAAGGCATTTAGTGATAGGACTAACATTGAAAAAATACAACACAACTTTATGGATAACAATCACTTGCAACTTTAATAGTGCAACATTTCAACAAGTGTCCTCTTGTCGTTATCAAGCACAGGGTAAAAACGATAATTTTTTTTTTTTTTTTTTTTTTTTTGAGGGGGGGGGGTGTTACAGTAAATGACCTTATAGAGAGTAGACAATGGGAATAGGCAATAGTCAAGAATACTGCAAGTATAAGACGTTAAGCTGATAGAATTTCTAAATTGATATATTATATGAATATCAATTAATATGATTTAAAGCTGGTTAATGAGAAAAATTAATCTGGATTACATAGGAATATTGCTACTTTTTAGGTGGTCAGTATATACTTATCTTTGTCACATCACATTAGCGAAAATCCCCACATTAAATTTTGTGTTTATTTCAAAGGTAAACAGGTCTTTTGTTACATTTACGCCTTTGTTTGTATAATTATTTAAACATGTATCATCAGATTTCCTTTGAAAGTTTGACCATGTTATGCACCATAAGGAACGACAAATCGTCCTCGACGTGCTATTTTTGTGCCACTGCAGTGCAGTAAAGCCACAATCACGCAACCCTTAGTCTCCGTTGTCCTTTCAACCACATAGAGGTACTTGGTATTAAGAATTTATTTTTATTATCCCAATTGTCTCCGAGCATATTATAGAAAAGCATATTACAAGAAACACAACACAAATATAAAAGATGCACATTCGGCACTGACCAGTAGCCACAGCACTATGTCTAATGGAATGGAATGGAAGTTGTTTTTATTTTGTATTTTCATTAACATAATTATTAGTATATGATTGTTCTTAATTTTGTAAAATGTGATGAATAAAATATGTGATATTTAATGTATGCGAATATCTTAAATTATTGAAAGTAAATTTCAGTTGTTCTTTACTGATGCCAGTGAATATGAGAAAGTCTCCCTTAACGTATTCCAAATAATCTGATATAATTAAACATTCACTCGAAGAAGTACAGAAGTACCATAGACTTGTAATAGCTCAACTCGCGAATTGATTGGACTGCCAGGCTGGCGTTGTTTTCTTGTATTTACACAAGGATGCAGAGCTTCCAATCCATGAATACAATTCATAGAATAGTCATCTTCGTGGGTCAGTCGCTTTTCGAAGCACGATAATTAAAGATGCATTATGTAAGAGCTAATTCTGCCTATTTCAGGCTTTTTTTTAGACTTCAAGTGTTATATAAACTATTATTTGGACATTTATTAATATGATAAGTCCATAATTAACCCTCTAGCGATCGGATGACAGAGATTTAAATGGATTAGAACGACCGCGAGATTTTAAAATTTAACGATAAAATGGATAGTCTCCTTTGTCCAGTACCGGTGCTACGATAATAAAAAATCTACTCTACATCTTCCAACACTCATAACTTCGGCCAGAATAATGTAATTTAAATACAAATTTCAATATATTTATTTTTAATTATCTATGT